GTTTTCATATAAATGTCAGTATGATTAGGGTTTATTAGCCATTTAAAAAAATCCAAGACTACATTCAATCCAAAGCCTTAAAAAACAATCCAAGCTTTAAAAAAGCAATAATGAAACCCCTTCTTCCCCAAAATCAAGCTAAAATGGCTTTCAGGAATGAAAAAAATAAAAAAGATTGTCAGTATTTTATGAAAGAGACTAAAAACCAATCACATATCTTCCATGTAGAGATGCCGCTTCTGTTAACATAATGTTAAGAATAAAGTTTTGATTTTTTTTTAAATGAAGAAAATATAATATAGGATAAATTCACAATGGCCAAGGCTATACATCAACACTACAATAGAGCTCTAATATGAATTACATTTTAACTTGAGTATTGTCACGTAACTATGGATAAGTGCCTACATATCAGGTCCATATTATAAATAAACTTTGATAGTTATTTTTGCCATTTCACATTCAATCTACATTTCTGAAGTCCTTAAAAGCATAGTATACATTCTTAACATAGTTAAGAATTTAAGTAATAATGCTAAACTGTTGCTCCAAACTAAACTGTTTCATAAACAATTCTTTTATTTCTTATCTATAAGCACACTAAAATAAAATTGTAAGCTCTCCTGAATCCAAGCATCATGTCCGGCCTGTTCACGATTATATACCAAGTTTGGCCTGTCAATGAATTTTTGTTAAAGTATGTAATAAATAAACCCCATAATCTGCTGCATTTTCAAATTTTACTCAGTCAAGTGCCAACATACAGAAAAATTAATGAATGTATGATTCTTGTCTTATTCATTACTAAATTAAACAGCTGCTAGAATACAAAATCTCTGCAATAGTTTATTTAGCTAATGGCTTAAATTTTAAGATCTTCATATATATAACAAATTAAAATCTTACTCCTGGCCAGGCGTAGTGGCTCACGCCTGTAATCCAAGCACTTTGGAGGCCAAGGCGGGCGGGTCACCTGAGGTCGGGAGTTCAAAACCAGCCTGACCAACATGGTGAAACCCCATCTTTAAATAAATAAATACATAAATAAAAAATCTTACTCCTATAAATGAAAAGCATGCTAAGTTTTAGCAATATTTGTCAAGTTAAAACTTACCAAATTCCTGATGTGCCTCAAAAAACACCTTTTTTGGGTTAGTCATTCTAAGAAATTTGAACATGAACTAGCAATTTGATTACACCAAGGAATTACTGTTAATTTTCTTAGATGTGGTATATCCCTGTGGCTCTACAATGTTCATTTTAAGAGATGCAAATTAGTTTCTGAGATTTGTTTTAAATTACTTAAGCATACACACACCCAACATTGGAGCACCCAGATTCATAAAACAAATTATTCTTGACTTATGACAAGACTTAGCCACACAGTAATAGTGGGGGATTTCAACACCCCACTCACACCATTAGACAGATCATGGAGGCAGAAAACTAACAATGAAATTCTGGACTTAAATTCTACACTTGATCAACTGGATACACACACACAGAGTACTACATCCAACAACCACTGAATATACAAATTTCTCATCTGTACAGGGAACATGTTTTAGGACAGACCATATGCTTGGCTCTAAAGCAAGTCTCAATAAATTAAAAAAAAAATTGAAATCACACCAAGCATACTCTTGGACCACTGTGAGTAAAAATAAAAATCCATATCAAGAAGATCTCTCAAAACTACACAAAGACATAAAAATTAAACAACTTGCTTCTGAATAACCCTTGGATAAACAAAGAAATTAAGGCAGGAATGAAAAAAATTCTTTGATATTAATGAAAATAGAGATACAACTTATCAAAATATTTGGATGCAGCTAAAGCAATGTAGAGAGGAAAATTTATAGTACTAAATGCCTTCATCAAGAGGTTAGAAATATTTCAAATTAATGACCTAACATCCTATGTAGAAGAACTACAAGAAAAGAACAATCTAATCCCAAAGCTAGAAGAAAAAACTAAAATCAGAGAAGAACTGAATGAAATTGAGACCCAAAAGTCCATACAAAAGATCAATAAAACCAAGAGCTGGTTCTCCAAAAGAATAAACAAGATTGATAAACCACTAGCAAGATTAACAAAGAAAAAAAAAAGAGAACTTCAAAATAAGTGCACTCAGAAATGACAAAGATGACAATACAACCAATCCCACAGAAATACAAAAGATCCTCAGAGATTATTATGAACATCTAGATCTATGCACACAGACTAGAAAATCTAGAGGAAATGGATAAATTCTTGGAAACACACACACCCTCCTCCAAGGATCAATCAATAAGAAACTGAAAACCTGAACAGACCAGTAACAAGTTCAGAAATTCAATCAGTAATTTAAACAAAACAAAACAAACTACCAATCAAAAAGAGCCCTGGACCAGATGATTCACAGACAAATTCTAACAGATGTACAAAGAACTGATACCAATCCTACTGAAACTTCCAAAAAAAAAAACAGGGAGGGGTTTCTCCCTAATTCATTCTATGAATCCAGAATCAGCCTGATACCAAAATCTGGTAGAGACACAATGATAAAAGAAAACTGCAGGCCAATATTGCTCATAAACACAGGCACAGAAATTCTCAGCAAAATACTTGCAAGCTGAACCCAGGAGCACACCAAAAGTTAATTTGCCATAATCAAGTATGCTTTATTCCTGCCATACAAGGCTTGATTCAAAATATGCAAATCAATAAATGTGATTCACCACATAAAAAGAATAAAAAAACCAAAAAACATAATATCAAGTCAACAGATGCAGAAAAAGTCTTTGATAAAATCCAACATCCCTTCACAATAACAACCCTCAACAGAGTAGGCATCAAAAGAATATAACTCATGGCCGGGCGCGGTGGCTCAAGC